TTCACTCTGTGCTTCAGACCGGCTACTGGGTAGAGGAGGACCAGGAGACAGCACTCAAGCATCCTGGCCTACGGGAAGCAGGACTGGCCCTTTCTGGCTCCTCTTTGCTTTTCAGTCTTGGGGACTGGAAGGAGGTGCCTCTAATGCAGCCTCCCTCCTGTCCAGTTTTCGTGACGCTGACCTGTGCCTTCCGCTATGGCCGTGAGGATCTGGATGTCCTGGGCCTCTCCTTCCGCAAGGATCTCTTCCTGGCCTCCTGGCAGGCCTTCCCCCCTGCCGAGAGCACCCCTGAGCCCCTCACCCGCCTGCAGGAGAGACTGCTGCGCAAACTGGGTGCCAACGCCCACCCCTTCAGCTTCATGGTAAGCCGGCCAGTCCCCACAACTCCTTCCACCCCCAGGGTGGGCCTTCTCTTTGTCCCAGCAGCGATGGCCCCTCCCTGTGAAGACCCTCCAACACACCCTCCGTCTCTTCCACAGATCCCCCAGAACCTGCCGTGTTCAGTGACGCTGCAGCCGGGCCCCGAGGACACGGGAAAGGTGGGTCTTGAGTGGGGGGCAATGGAGGGGTTATTCCAGCGGGAGGAGCAGTGGGGATGAAGTGATTGGATTGGCAGTCCCAGCCCTGAGATCGGCCCTTTCACTTGCAGGCCTGTGGTGTGGACTTTGAGATTCGGGCATTTTGTGCCAAAAACCTGGAGGAGAAAATTCACAAAAGGTGGGTGAGCAGCCCGTCCACCAGAGCCAGCAGAGCGTTTTAAAACGACGCTACCATCCCTGAGGCCCTGCCTGGCATAGACCTCTTGGTTGCGCATCTCCTGGCATCTCCCTGCCCACCCCGCCTGGGAAGCTGCCCCCAGCATCGGGGCTTGATCCCCTGCCCTCCCCCTGCTGGCTGCTGACTGCTGGGCCCCCTCCCAGGAACTCCGTCCGCCTGGTTATCCGGAAAGTCCAGTATGCCCCTGAGAAGCCTGGGCCGCAGCCCATGGCTGAGACCACCCGCCACTTCCTGATGTCCGACCGCTCCTTACACCTGGAAGCTTCCCTCGACAAGGAGGTAAGAGCTGTGTGGGAGACCCTTGCAGGAGGCGAAGAGAGAAGAGACCTCCCTGCCCGGCAGGGAAAGTGCTTTGCGCCTGATTGAAAACCTAACAATTCACTCTTCAGGAAGCTCCACAGGAAGCACCGCGGCTTCGGCCGGTGTCTGCAACTTCCCAAGTTTTGTAATAAGTTTGTAACTTGGGAACTGCGAAGGAGGAGGCTTCTGCTTCTAGAAATGAGCGTCTTACAAAACGCCGTTTTAAAAAATATGAGTTGAATAAACGAGGTAGAAGGCAACAAGGGTTTGGACAGAAAACTGGAAAACCCACACTTGGTGGATTGTCAGCCAGGGCTGCCACGGTCCACAAGCTGATTTTCACAAAACCTCTGCCTGTTTTCAGAGAGCGGGGTGCGGGGGGACCCATCATGCAGGAGTGGGGGGCCAACATGTCTGCCTGTTTTCCTTCCCCGACTAGCTTTATTATCACGGTGAGCCAATCAGCGTCAACGTTCACGTGACCAACAACTCCAGTAAAAGCGTGAAGAAAGTGAAAGTGGCCGGTAGGGAGGGGCCCTGCTGGCTGGAAGCCTGACGTGGTGGGGAGGGGGCTCAGCGTTGTGGTGGTCCTCTAGTATGGAAGCAGAGCACGGTGGTGGTGGGGGGGTGTACTGCCTTCCTCCAGCCCGTTGGGTGATGTGGGGGAGAGATTCCTTGGCCCCTCCCTGGGTTAAGCAGGGGAGGGTCTTCCCAACTGACCTGCCTTCCCTTCTGGCAGTGCGGCAGTACGCAGACATATGCCTCTTCAGCACCGCCCAGTACAAGTGTCCAGTGGCCCAGATTGAGCAGGAGTGAGTATCCCTCCCCCCCCCGTTCCCCCAACAGTGAGCAAATATCCCTTTTCAGAGCCCTGAGTGGGTCTGCCGTCTTCTTCCTCTTCCTCCTCCTCCTCTTTTTCTTCCTCTTCTTCCTCTTCCCTCTCAGAAACCTCAAAGTTTTCCCAGTTCTGTTCAGAAAATTCAGTGTGTGTGTGTATTCAGTGTGTCTGACCTGTCTTGCGTGTCCCCCTCTCAGAGACCAGGTGGCCCCCAGCTCCACCTTCTGCAAGGTTTATACGCTCACACCGCTGCTGACCAACAACCGGGAAAAACGAGGCCTGGCACTGGATGGGAAACTGAAGCACGAGGACACCAACCTGGCTTCCTCCACCATGTGAGCCATCTTGGCCAGGGGTGGGGGCGAGGGGAGGTGCCTGTTTTGCCGTGCAGGCTCGGCCTTGCAGACTCCGGTTTTGTGGGGATGCTGCTCAAGAGCCGGAGACCTATTTTTCCAAGGGGGGGGGTCTGTGCCCCACCCCCAGCCCTCCTCTCTTTGCTTTGCAGAGTGACGGAGGGCATCAACAAGGAAGTCCTGGGCATCTTGGTCTCCTACAGGGTCAAAGTGAAGCTGGTGGTGTCCCGGGGAGGGTAAGTCATAGTCCTTACGCACAGTCACTCAGGCGCTCGTCACTTCCCGCCTGGACTACTGCAATGCTCTCTACATGGGGCTCCCCTTGAGGAGTACCCGGAGGCTCCAACTGGTGCAGAATGCGGCCGCGCGGGGGATTATGGGAGCGAGGGGGCGCTCCCATGTGACACCTCTCCTGTGTGAGCTGCATTGGCTTCCAGTGGTCTTCCGGGTTCAAGGTGTTGGTCACCACCTTTAAAGCTCTCCATGGCATAGGACCTGGGTATTTGCGGGACCGCCTTCTGCCACCGATAGCCTCCCACCGACCAGTACGCTCCCACAGAGAGGGACTCCTCAGGGTGCCGTCAGCCAGGCAATGTCGGCTGGCGACCCCCAGGGGGAGGGCCTTCTCTCTGGCAGCTCCTGCCCTCTGGAACGACCTGCCCCCGGAGATACGAAGGATACCGGATCTCCGGGTCTTTCGCCGTGCCCTGAAAACTTTTCCATCAAGCAGGGCTGGCGTGAAACCCCCCCCCCTTTTTTTTTCTTTTTTTTTTAGCCTTTTAAATTGTCAATGGATTTTAGTTTGAATGTTTTAAATTTTGGGCCAAAGTTATATAATTCTTCCAAAAATTTTAAATTTTGTATTGGTACGTGTTTTAGTTCTGGCTGTGCACTGCCCTGAGTCCACTGGGAGAAGGGCAGGATACAAATTGAATAAAATAAAAATAAAAATAAATAGGATGGGGGTTGGGGGTGGGCTGGTCTTGTCTTGTGCCCAGTGACCAAAGCTTGCTTCTCTCCCTGCCAGGGACGTGGCGGTAGAGCTGCCCTTCGTCCTGATGCACGCGAAGCCACCCGAGCAACCCTCCCCAATGCAGCCCACAGCAGGTGAGGTCCCTCCCCTCCCCTTCCCCCACAGGGCCAGTTCATTACAACCGCTTCACCCTCCCCTCTCGTCCCTCCCCAGATGTGCCAGAATCGGATGCGCCGATTGATGCCAACCTGATTGAGTTTGAACCCAAGTAAGAGGCGTGGGGGGGGGGAAGCCTCTTGCGGGGGTGCAGAGTGCAGCAACTCCTCGTGGTAGATGGGGGGGCAGAGAGAATGGGGCAGCTGCAACCCTTCGGATCAGAGCATCGTTCTGGCCACTCCCTGCTTGAGCAGAGGCTGCCTTCATTCGCAGCCATGCCACGAATTCAGCCGGGGCGGATGGTGGCCCTCCCCAATTCCTTCACCACGTTCTCTTTAATGGGCCCTTTGGCAGAACATGCCCCCTACTCTGCCAACCGTCGTCCTGTTCCTGCTTCAGCATTTTTTTCCCCGTTCTTCCGTAAAGCACATTTCTAGCCCAGGAAAAACGCCCTTGTTCAGGGCATCCATGGCACGCTTCCGATCTTCCCACAGACAGGATAAAGTTGTTGGAGCAGCCTTCTCGGTCACCAGGCTCCAAGAGGTTAAATCTATAGGGAAGCTTTGGACACGGATGTCCCAGCCAAAGAAAGTCCTGAAAAGGGGTCCAGGGTTTTGCCCCATCCGGAGCCGCTGAATAGACAGCCAAGCAGAGGCTCAGAGCCAGAGACCCATATGTACTTGGTTCCACTTGCAGAATGTGTGGGCCTCTAACCCCTTGGGTGGCAATTGGAGCTTCCCATTTGGTGGGGAGGCTGCTAAACCCCCTTGCAGAAGTGCATCTCATCTGCCCCACCTCCTGAGCCCGATGCTGGGCTTTCTGGTTTTGGGGGATACCCCTCCACCACCAATCGGCAGCTGGGTCTCTGCACAAGCAACTGCTTGGGGGGGGGGGGCCCCCTCTGCCCCCCCCACCACAATCTGCCCCCCTTCCCCCCCCCCCCCCACAGCTATGGGCAGGATGACGACATCGTGTTTGAGGACTTCGCCCGGCTGCGCCTGAAGGGCATGAAAGAGGACGACGTTGACTACTGCTAAGGAGCCTTTGGGGCAGATCCCACCCACCCCCAGCAAGCATCCGGTCCAATGACCACCTTCCCCTCCCCTCTCCCACCGTCCAATTGCTGTAGTGGGGGTGGGGTTTTCATGTGACTAAAATTGGGGACAGGGTCCTCCCGGCTTCTGTCCTGTTTCCCTGCTTCTACCGCATACTTTTCCAAGAGGATTTTGATGTATATAACGAGCACCCCACCCCCTCCGTCTCGCGCACTGGAGTCATTTATTGGGCATTATTGTCAGATGGTCCTGTCCTCAAGTACCACTTTGCTGTTGTCTCCCCCTCCTCAAGTTCTCTCTTTTATATCTACTATTTTAAATGCTTCGGAAGATACTGATAGTAGAATTGGCCCCCACTTTAAAAAGGGGGGCACTTATATCCAGGGATGAAGAACGCTTTGGATGAGCTTTGCTCTGGGGGTCAGGACGGCTTGCTGCTCCAGCCCCAGTTGGGGGGGGGGGCGACCCTTGGCCAAGCTCCCCGCCCCAGATGTGAATCTGCACCCAAAGAGGCACACAGCCGAGCAAAGAGCAACTGAATAAAACCATGAACTGAAACAGCTTTTTATTCATTTCCCAGGCATAAAAAGGGAGAGGGGAGGCAGGGAGGGGCAGCGCAGGAAGGCGTTTCTGCTCAGCAACATCCCTGCGGTTGGCTCAATTCCACCTGTTTCTGCAGGAGGCTGGCATTTGGGCAGCAGCCTTCAAAAGGCAGATCAGGGAGAAAAATCCCATCTTGGCTGCAGAAGCCGCTGTGGGGGGCAGGGGGGCGCCCTCACCAGGCGGGGTCTTCAACACCTCCCAGCACTTGGATCCCAAACCAGCAGAGCCCAAATCCGCAGGAGTGACTGTTGGGTTCAGGCTGCAGGCGGCAGCTGTTTCCAGGTGCTGCTGCCTCTTCCGTCACTCAGGTGGCTCCCAATAGCTGCCCTTCAAGATGAAGCCCTGCAGCAAAGACAAGCAGGTGTGGGACCCTGAGGCCGAGTGAACACACACACACACACACACACCAGCAGCCGCCTACCTGCTTTCCCAGGGAAGGTGATCCGGATTGGGGTTGGGTTCCAACGAAGGGTCCCTTCCTGTTCCAGCCACCTAGCAGAGAAACAGCCCTCTTCCACACACGCACCTTCCTCTCCCAGGCAGGTGAGCTCCAAAGACGCCCCACACCCCCCTGCACGAAGGAAGAGCAGGGCGCCCTCCGCACAGGGGCCCTGCCCAGCTTTGCCTACCACGGCCTTTGCTTCCTCGGAGGAGGCGCTGAGGCTGCCGCCCCCCCTTTCATCTGAATCCACACCAAGCCTGAGGGCAAAAGGACAGGTTCAAAAGCTGCAGCTCCCCACTGCTGCCATCCCCCCCACCCCCAAAAGCTGTGCCTAGGCTTCCTGCAGGGCTGCTCTCCCCAGCAGCATCTTGGGGGCAGAGGGGCAGATATGCTGGGGAAGACCTGCACAAGACCCGTCTTTTCCCCCCAGCAGGACTCCCGAGGGGGCGGGGGCTAGAGTGCCCGGAGCAGCGGAGGGTTGCCACAAAGGAGACTCACAGCCCAGCCTGGCCTCTCGCCTGGCCCAGCTTCTCCTGCAGACGGGTCACCTTCCTCCGGTACCTTGAAGGGGGGAGGGAGAGAGAGATGGGGGGAGCTCCAAACACAGATTGCAGGGCTCCACCTCTGCGGGTGGGGAGGGGGGGTTGCTGCCCACTCACTTCTCCTCCTGCTCGATGGCCCGGTTGACCCGCGTGGCCTCCAGCGCCTTCTCTCTCAGCCAGCGGGCCTGCAGGGCCAGCCTTCCCGCCTGGGCCTCCTGCAGAAGGGCCCGGGCCTGGCCCAGCTCCGTGCGCAGCTCTTCGTTCTCCCGGGCGAAGCTCCAGGCGCGGCACTCGGCCTCCTGGTGCCGTCGGGTGAGCGCCGCCAAATCCCGGCCCAGGCAGCCCAACCTGGCAGGCAGGCAAGCTGAGCGCCAAGCCGAGGGTCTTCCTGACCCCGCCAAGGGCCACCCGCCTCTGGCAAGACCCCCCCCCCCCCCCCCCCCCCCCCCCCGGGGCCCCCCCCCCGCCCCCCCCCCCCCCCCCCCACCCACCGCGGGGGCAGAGCCTGGACCCCGACGGGCCCTTTCCACTTCCGAGGGCGCGGGTGCGAGTTCTGCGCATTGGGCGTCCTGCAAAAGGGGGAAGAGGTCCGCGGCCCCCCCCGCCCCCCGCCCCCCGCCTCGGGGAAGGGCTACCTGGCGCGCTGCTCGCGGCTCGCGGCCTCGGCGCTCCGCAGAAGCTCCGCCTGGAGGGCGACCTGCTGATGTGACTGCGGCGGAGAAGACGGGAGCGCGTCGGTGGGGCTGGGGCGCCCCGCGGAGACCCCCCCTCCCTCCCCGGCCCGGCCCGGCCCGGCCCTCACCTCGCCTTCCTCGCGCCGCAGCTGCACCGGGAGGGCGGCCGGATCCGCGGGGGGCCTGCAAGACAGCGCGGGACGGCGTCTCAGCCGCGGCCTCGGCCGGGCGCCCTCTCCCCGCCCGGCCCGCCGCCCAGCTCACCCCGAGGCGCCTCCAACCGGCAGTTGCGCCTCCAGCCGCTCCTGGAGCTGCTCGTCTGCGGGGCGAAGGAGACCCTCAGGCAGCGCTCCGGTGGCGGCGCGTTCCGCAGACTCCTCCGCGGCCCCGCCCCCTCCCGCAGCCCCGCCCCCGCGAGGGAGGCGCGCCGCTCACGTCGCTCCAGCAGCCGCCGCAACCCGCGCCAGCGCCCCTCCCGCGCCCGCAGCTCCGCCCGCACGTGCTCCCGCCAGCCCCCGCGCCGCATGGCCGCCCGCCGCAACGCTCGCCGGGACTTGCAGTCCGGCCTTTTCAAGCCCACGGAGGACGCAGGCGCGGAGAGGATGGCGGCGGCGGCGGCGGCGGCGGCGGGAGGGGGCGCCTACAGCCTGGGCCTGGCCAACGAGCGGCTGCGGCTGCTGGAGGAGCTGGAGCGCGAGATCGGGGCGGCGCTGCAGAGCGCAGGTGGGGCCCTGCGGGGGGGGGGGGGGGGGGGGGGAGGGGGGGGGCGGGGGCCCCGGCCCCCCCCCCCTCCCCCCCCCCCCCCCGCAGGTGGCCACCCGGCAGCCGCACGAGGGCTCGAGCTACGCGGCGCGCAAGGACTGCCAGATGGCCCTGAAGCGCGTCGACTTCGCCCGCCTCAAGCTGGCCGAGCTGGCCCGCGGCTGCGAGCAGATGCTGGAGCAATAGCGCCGCGCCAGCCCCTGGACCGGCAAGCCCCGAGAGGGCCGCGGAAGGCTTTAGCAGCCACCGGTTGCTTTCCGGACTTCGCTCCATCGACCTGCCTTCTCCCTCGGAGACCTCGTGGTGGGGAAGCCCCGCAATTAAAGTGGGTTGATTCGGAAAAAAGTCCGGTGGATGAGCTGAGATGGGGGAGGGGGGTTGTTAACACCCCCCCGATATTGAGCTGCAACTGGTCAAGGCTTGTCCGAGGCCGGCCTCTTATCTGGAGCCAGGCAGACGGCACTGAATCCTCAAGACTGGTATCAAGGTATCCGTACCCCTTTCAAAGCCCCCCCCCCCCGCTTGCCCCTTCCCACATCTTGCAGTAGGGAATGGCGCAGGGGAACAATGGCCGGGCAGGTGTGGGTGCAAGAGTCTCCCTTCTGCCAGCCTCTCCTGAATCTGGCTCCACTTCCCAGGGGCTCCCTTGGCCCTGGCGGTTTGACCTCGGCCCCCCTGGAGCTGAAGTCCACCACCTTAACATTGTCAAGGTGAAGAAATACCGGTTTAGGGGGAGGAGGGAAAGTTTTCCTGGCCGCTTCTGTGGGCCATAAAGGGTTGGGCTGATGGTGTAGTCCCGCGGCTGCCCTCCTTCCCAGCCAGAGCCACTAGCACTCCAGTCTGGCCGACTCTCCTTCGGGCTCCCTCCCCTGCCCGATGCTCTTTTGTCTTTCAAGGTGGAACACGCCCCACGTAGAAGGCATGCACACGTCTGAAACTGACCCACAGATTTCCTCGCCCGTTTTCTACCAAAAACAGGCGGAACAGTCCCCACCCCCACCCCCACCCTGAAAGGGTCTACGTCCTCCTGCCCAGAAACTTTCTGACAACCTCAGGATGCTGAGGACATCGAGGTGGCGGACAGACAAGCAGTTTCTTTTTCGGACACAATGGCCCCGGCCAGACAGCCACCCGTTAGGGCTCCCTGGGCACCACCAGGCCCATTTCTCTCGGGCTGTGGGGAGGGGGAACTCCATTGGTCCAGCTACCCAGGGGGCTTTTTGACCAAGGGGGGAGCTCCCCTCACCTGACTGTGCCCCTAGGTGAGCAGTCGGCTGATCTTGAGATGTGGGATGGGAGAAAGAAGGGTTCCAGAAAGCGGGGAGGGGGAGGGGAGCAGAGGACTTTCCTCCCTCTCTTACCCTTTTTCTTTCTTTCTTCCCTCCCTCCTTCCTACTTGGAAGTTGGTGCTTGCATAACAGGTGGGTGGGTGCAACAACCCTTGAAAACAGCCTCCCCCTTTGGCAGTCAGCTCAGGGCCCGAATGCAAGGCTTTGGCGGCCTCCCTTGACCGCCCTTCTTTTCTTCCGCCCTCCCTCCCTCCCTCCCATCTTGGGCAGGATTTTCCAGGAGGGGGGTTCTCCAGGCCCTCCATCTCCCTCTGGGACCCTGCCAGGGTTGCTCCCGAACAGGATGTGCTCTGGATCCCCTGGGAAATTCCAGACAAAGGCTGGGCAAGCCCTGAGTGGCAGGGAAGGAAAGGGGGCGGGAGGGGGTGTCATCCCAGGCTCTGTGCCACCCCAGCGCAGTTGCGCGAAGACTGCCAGACACCCAGAGCTTCCTTTTACAGGGTCTACACAAAGATGTCATGCCTCTCTCTCTCACACACACCCCTCCGTCTCTTCTGGCATTTGTGGAGAAACCAGAAGGTGCCAAGTGTGGCCCTTGTCCTGGAAGAGGGGGGGGGGAGGCGGGCACACCTCCAGTTCAGCTTGTTCCAACATCAGCTGGAAAACCCCTTGAAGGATCAGACCTGCTAGCAGAAATGGGGAAGGAAGTACTGGCCGGACATGAGTCATGCTCATGCTGAATCAGGGCTGCACAAGGAGGCGTCTGGCAGAAAACTCACTAGCGGAAGTTACGTTTTCTACAAAAATATACTTTTATTTGTCAGAAGAAAAAGTGAAAGGTCCACAAGAACAGCGTCAGCCACAGTTGAAGGGAGGACGTTCCTGAATCCACAGGATGCAGTTCCCTTTTGCAGTTCCCTTCAGCCTCCCCAGCCTGAGCCAGTGGCTGGATCTGTTCTGGGCCTGTAAGTGGGGCCCCCCTCCTGGTCTCTGCAACATCCACACCTGAAAGGGAGAATCGGAATTAGCTCCAGAAAGAAGCATTAGGGCCTGCTGTGCAAAAGGGGGCATGTAACAAGATGGCTACAAAGTGGAATACAGGTGCCCATGGGCTCAGATCCCCCCCCTTCTAAAGAGACTCCTCCCAAACAGCTGGAACATCAGCCCTTTCCCGCTTGAAATTCTGACCAACCCTCTGGGTCTGAGCGCCCTTCGGAGCTGGCATGCAAGCCTCCCCCCCCCCCAGGGACTGGCCATGCGCCTCAAAGGGAGGGCAGCTTCTCTGGTGGGAGACAGCCCCCAGGCCAACTCCAGAGGGAGCCTGTGGGGCAGAGATGGCTGAAAAGGATCCCAGAAAAAAGGGGCCCAGGAGGAGGACGCTCGCTCCTTTCCAGATAGTGGCTGCAGCAGAGGCCCCTTCCCCTGCACCTTCCTCTCTATCTTGCCCCAAAGTTCCGGAAAGGAGTGCCATCACTCCGGGCATCCCAAATGCCGAGGGGAACCAGAGCAGCAGAGAAGATGACCCTGGGCAGGAAGCCCACCTGTTGCTCAGAGGTCAGGGCTGCCTGACAGCCTCTCCTGGGGGGCCTCCACCAGCACAGCAGACCAACGATCACGAGGAGCAGGACGATGCCCAGCGCAGACAGGACAGCAGTCTGGTGCCACCCTGGCACACCCTCCTCTTGGCCAAACCGGGTGGGGCTGACCTCAGCAACGGCACCTGCTGCAATCAGACCAGGAGTGAGTGCCCTTCCCATAAGCCCCTCCCCAAGCCCCCTTCGCCCCCAGCCTTACCATTCCTGGGCGGCACAACGCTCCAGACACTTTCTAGGGCTGGGACGGCTGTTGTGTGGGTCAAGGCCGGCAGCCGCTGTGACAGCGGAGTCTCCCTCGGCACCAGCTGTGACGGTAGCGTCTCCATCGGAACCACCGGGGTTGACCCCATGGAGCTCAGAGGCTGAAGTGGGGCACGGCTGCTGGGGCTGGGTTGGGAACTCCTCTCAGAGGAGCTGACCTTGGCAGACCCCTCCCCTTTTGCGAAGAAAAGGAAATGCGGTTAGGCAGGGAAGGGATGCAATGACTTCCAACTGGCAGGAGGGGTGGGGAAGAGAGCCTTCCCTGCCATTGCCCCTGGGGAACATTCTCTCCCCAGAGAAGAGGTGCCCCCTCCCCAGTCCCCTGTCCTTTCAGAAACATCTGAAGACCTGGCTCTGCCATCTTGCCTGGGGCTGGCAGGGGCCCTCCTCCCACCAGCCTTTTCTTTCACTCTGTCAGACTTTAAGTAGCCTTTCCTCTTTTTCAAACTTTAAAAGTTTACACTCAGCTTTTATGCCTTAACATTTTACTTCTACAACCCCCAGAGTCCCCCTGACAGATTCGGGGGAGGCGGGGGATGGACTGTTTTTAAGTCTGGCAATTAATGCAGGCAGGCAGGCAGGCAACGGGGGCCCCTCTCAGATGCCTCTGCAGCGCGGGGGGGGCTCTCAGTCCCACCCCTCTCCCTTTGGGGCAGACTCACGCATGTCCCTCTTCCGAGAGATAAGCCGGAGCACCCAGGGCGCGTCGTCCAAGCCACACACCAGATTCTTCGGAAAGATGAACCTGCCAAAGGGGGGGGGCAAAGGGGGGCAGCTGGCAGCCAGGCTCGACTCCTGGCGGGAAAAGGAGGGCTATTATGGGATGGGGCTCACCTGATCAGGCCCCTGCAGCGCTCCCAGGTCACCAGACGGTCGGGGAACCGCCTGACCAGCGCCGGCTCGGTGCTGAATTTCTCACACCGGCAGCTCCCGGAGGCTCCCCCCTCGTTCCCCAGGGCTGTGGAAGGCAGAGCGGTGGTCAGGAGGGAACGGGGACGCCTCCCCCGACCCGGGACTCCCGAGACCGTCGCCGGGGCGCCTCACCTGGCCGGACGGGTAGCAGCAGCGGCAGCAGCAGCAGCAGCAGAAGCGGGCTGCGCCTCTGGGCGAAACGGCGGTCGGAGCCCCCGCTCCGCTCGCCCGCCGCCATCGCCAGCCCTCCGCCTCGGCCGAAAGCGAAAGGCGCCCAGCCGGGAGAGGCGCGAGGGGCTTTCCGGCGCCTCCAGAACTTGCCCAAGCGCCGCCCGCGCCCGGCCTCTTGGCACGCCAGCAAGCGCGGGGGAGCGCGGGGTTCCGGCCGCTTCCTGGGAGGGTGACACGGGTCCCGTCCAGAGCTCTGGCCGGCGGCCTCTTCCGCTGCCCCTCCCATTTCGGCCATGGCGGGGAGGGCCGACCGGGCGTTGGCTGCTTAACTACGGTGCCCGGAATCGGCTACGGCGCTCTGGCCGAAATCCCGTCGCTTGTTTGGGCTTTGTGGTGGGCGCCGCGGAACGGCTCTGCTTGGCGCCGGGTTGGGCCCGCCTGCCGCTGACCGCGACGGCCTAAAGGGAGCCCGCCCCTGCAGGCTCCTTCTGGGCTTAGAGCCCCCACCCCACCCGAGGAGGGCGGCGGTTCTGCACCGGTGAGGTCAACACCTGGAGCTCTGTGATGCTGCTACGGGGTGTGGCCGGAGCCCCGCCCACACCCAAAGGGCACGCCCACCGGCTCTGGAGTGGCGCATGGACTCCCTGGTGCTGCTGGTGTGCCTGCTCCTGCTGCAGGCGGGTGGTGCTCGTGCACAAGGTGTTGGGGGCATTTTGGGAGGGGGCTACTGGAGGGGGGGCTACTGGCAGAAGCGGTGGAGGGCGGCCGTCCGGCTCTCCTGAGGTCACAGCAGACTTGTGATGTCAGGGGCAGCTAAGGCCAAAGGCTGGCCCACCTGAGGCTGCCCCTGGCGGCACATGGCCCCCGGGCCTTCAGAGCAGCGCACCCAAAGGAGAGGCTTATTGGGGCAGGCCCGGCCCAGCAGGGTCGGGATGCCTAGCTGTCCCACTGGACACCCCAGGGAAGCCCTGAGCCCCCAGGCTGGGCTGCCAGGTCAAACCCACCTTCAAGGATCCAGAAGAGCCGCATGGGGCTCCGATTCCCCCAGAAGAGTGGGGTCTCTTTGAGACGGACTGGCAGGGCATCCCGACCAACTCAATGAGTCCAGCGGACGGGGGGCAGCAGGGGCCACCTAACACGGAGGCTTCTTGTCTCTCTTAGGCTGCGGCTACCGACCAGATTTTGATGCGCCCCATTCCTCCCTTTTGGGCAATGCTCGCATTGTGGGGGGCACGAAGGCTCGTGCTGGGAAATGGCCTTGGGTGGTCAGCATTCAGACTAGCTCCTACCACTTCTGCGGGGGGAGCATCGTGCACCCCTGGTGGGTGCTGTCCGCAGCTCACTGCTTCACAGACAGAAGGTAACTGGTCAGGGGGACAGCTGGGGGGGGCAGTAGGACATGACGGGGGCAGCCCTGCTTCCTTCTGCAGCCCTTGTCAGCAGTCTCCCTTGTTGCCTGGAAGCCCCCCTACATGGAGGCAGCAAAGACCCCTCAGTGACCAGAATGACCCCCTTGCCTGCAGATGCTCCTTGCCACTCTTCCGTGCCCACAGCAGAAGAGCTGCCCCTAGCAGGAGAAGAGCTTCTGTGGCTGTTTGATGCCAGGAAGGGTCGGGCTCTGGTTGGCACATTCCATCTCCTGCTTACACAGACCCCCCCACTGACCATTCACCTGTCCTGTCCCCCTCCCCCATACAGGGAAGGCATCAGGGTGGCGGCAGGAAGCAACTACCTGGGCAGGAACAACGTCACCCGCTGGGTGCGGAAGATCCACCTCCACCCACTCTACAACCCCAAGACTTACGACAACGATCTGGCACTGCTGCTGCTGCACAAGCCCATCCCCCACAGCTGGTTCCACACTGCCCTCTGCCTGCCAGACCGCACCATCGTCCCAGACAACAACATGTGGGAGAGCTGCTTTGTCGCCGGCTGGGGCCTCACGAAAGCTGGTGAGCCGGGTGCTTCACCCCCTCTCCCCCACAGGGGAGCTGGATGTGGGCATCAGAGAGGAAGACCCTCTCATGGAGCCATAGAGGGAACATCCAGGGTCATCTAGCCCAACCCTCTGCTCACCAGAGCACCCCACACTGCTGGGTGTGTCTGAGGACCCCCAGTGAGGGGGAAGGTTCCATTTCTACTGCAAAACTGTTCTTCCCAGTGTGTGACTTGTATTTCCACCCAGTCCTTTTCGGCCCTTTGATTCTGGTCCTACCCTCCAGCATACGAGAAAGCCAGTCTTCACCTGCTGCCCTGTGCCAGCCTATCTCTCTCTCTTTCTGCTCAATCTCCATCGGTTTACAGAAGCCACTAAGAAACCCTGAGCTGCATGTCCAAGGCCTTGTCCTCCGTTGCTGGGAGAATCGCTGCAAAGTGTTCTGGCCCAGCCTTAGCAGAAGCAAGAAGCAGACCCTGGTCACGAAACCCTCCTCTTGATTTACCTTTTGTGAATTAATGGCATCCACCCACCGAAAAGTCCAGGCAAGAGTCCTGCAAGGAGATAACGGCAGTAACCGACCTTATCAGTTCCTTGTGATAATTGAGCTCCCAGCCAAAAGGCTGCAAATTAAGTTCTGGCCAGCAGTCTTTGTGGCACGAAACACAATGAGCCAAATCACCAGAAATACGAACGGTTGTCTCCTACAACAATCACTCTCCTTCTGTTTATTCCCCAGCCAGGGAGGGGCCATTCAGCATCCACGTGTGCCTTTCTTCCCGAGTTGACTCCTTGTCTTCCATTGTTCACCTCTCCTAACTGCTCTGCGCATACGTGCATCTGGTACAGGCCCCAGCTGGTCTTCCTCCCCCTCCTCACTCACCTCAGCCTCCAAAGGCAGCTGCCTCTCTGGCGGCTGGGAAATGTCAGACGGCCCTGGCTCTATCTCTGCATCCGACACAGAGCATCCGTCAGAGCCTTCCCCAGGCTCCAGAAATGGCCCAAGTTCCTCCCCAATCTCCTCATCATCTGAGTCTGCTGCCAGCTCCGCTGGTAGCTGGTGGGCCACTGATGTCCTGTCCGTCCTGCTTGCCAGTTCTCCTCCAGACATAACCTGGGTGAAGGGGCTACTATCAGCCTGGTGGTGGGCAAAGAGCCGAGACCGGTTACGTCTCCTCGTGCATTTTGGGTTCAGCTGTAAACATTACAATTGAGCAGGAAGTCCCCTGTTTTGCCTGGGGTCTTTTCTTCCCCTTTTCTAAAAGGGAAATTTGTTCCTCTAAACCTAATCTGCTCTGCTCAGCACAAATGCACGTGTCGTCGTTGTCCCACCCTCCCCATTAAACGTGACTCCCCGTGCCTCTGATCTTTAAGACCTGGTGATCCCAGAAGGGATCGGAACCTCGTTTGCCTGGCTCCCGTCCTCCCCCCGAATCAGATCTGGTCACTTCCTACTGCCCAGGGGAGAATCTCTGGGGCTGAGAGCTAAGCCACTTGCTACTGTCTCCCCCCTCCCCCGGCTTGACCTCCTCTAGGCTCAGAGTACGGCTCCCCTGAGTTGCTGGACATTCAGGTGGGCTTGGTAGACTGGACGCTGTGCCTGCGGTGGCTGCACTCCATCACCAGGAACATGGTGTGCGCCGGGTTCGAGGAGGGCGGCCGGGACGCCTGCCAGGTAGGAACCCCCTTGGCTGCCCCACACACCCCATGCATGTGCCTGGCCAAGGCTGGACCCAGACCCTGCCTCAGAGGAGCAGCAGCTCAGAGGAGCCTGAGGTCTGGTGGGGGGAGAGCTGGGCAAGCTTGCAATCCAAAGGCCCAGCAACCAACCTGCCCATCCCCCGGGTCAGACTCCTTGCCAAGGAAACCAGCTGATTCCCAGGATGGTTGACCAGTGCCTGGACTAGAGGATGCATGGGGCAGTCCCATGCACCAGCCCAGGCTCCCCTCGGCCCCAGAGGCTTGTGCTTGCTTCCTCCCTCAACAGCCTTGTCTACCTACCTCGCAAGGGCTGCTGGGCTCAGTAGAAGAGTCGAAGGGACCCCTCCTCAGTACACGGGTGTGTGGAGGGGGTGGCATTCCTGCTCAATCCTGCCCCACTGGACTCCCTGCCCTCCCTCCTCCCCCCCCATGTCCCAGCCCCTCCTCAATTCCCTCCTTCTCTCACCTCTGCAGGGGGACAGCGGGGGGCCCCTGATGTGTCTCCCACCCAGCCACAGCGGCCACGGCAGCCCCCGGCGCTGGTACCAAGTGGGCATTGTGAGTTGGGGTCGCAGCTGCGCGGCCGCCCGCAGCCCAGGCGTCTACACGCAGGTCTCCAACTACCACTCCTGGCTGGAGCAGACATCGGCGCACGATGGACGCCCCTTCCGCGTGCCCCAGATCCCCGTCAGCCCCTCCCTGCAGCACGAGAAGCACAACGACCTCTGGGCTAACGTGGACAGCAGCAGTGCCCCCGTGGGCCCCCCACCCGTGCTCTGCTCTGCCGCCCTGGCAGTGCTGCTCTCGGGCCTGCGCTGAGGAGCAGCCAAAGGGAGGAAGGGCCACCAGTGTCGGGAGACCCAAAGGATGCCAAGCAATGTGGGGCATTCCCTCAGCTTGGCTTGGCGGTTCAATAAATATTCTTGGATACGCCTGGCTCTCTCCTCATGTGGGGTTGGGGGGGAAGCTCCCAAAGATAGTGGAACGGGGGGGGGAGGACCCTCGCCAGTGGAGCAGAGGAAGTGGCTGGGCAAGGACTGTAGGCTCAAGTCAGGGTAAGAAATAGGGATGCCCCCCATGACCCTCACCCCTCCAGCTGCAGCTGAGCATTTGGCGAGCTTCTCCGCAGGCTCAGAGGCCTCTTGCTTCTTCCATGGCGGCCATAGTGAGCCTTGGGGTATGTGGGAGGGCCTCGAGTTTGGTGTTTTCCTCACAACACCAGAAATGGTCACAGTGGGACCCAACAGCCGACAAGTACCCCTCCCCCAGTCCAGCTGTGAGGAAAGAAGGCGGCCCACTGCAGCTCAGCCCTGCCTGTGGGGGAGGGGAGGGGAGGGGAGGGGGGCAGCTCATTCACAGTTGCCCAGGGTCCAGCGGCGGCAGCAGCAACCGCAGGAAGGGGCTGGGGGTCTCTGCTGGGCCAGCCGGAGGGACCTCAGACCCAGCCCAGGACCCACGTAGGGCTCTGGCACAAGTGTACCCAGTTATGTGCCATGATAAAATGGGCGTAAGGTGGAGAGCCTGCCTTTAGATGGGTTCGTTGCCCCAGGGGGTCACCCTCAAAAATGGATGCCCTTAATCTTGCTCAAGTTGCTGAGGCAATGGAAGCAGGCAGAGCAATGTGGAAGGGGACTGGGTGATGCCCTCCCCCTCCCTGATCTGGAGGGAACCCCAAGCTGAGCCCTCAAATCCCAGGGACATGAATGAAGCCCACCGAGGAAGCTCGTGGCAGGTGCCAGGGGTGCCTCTGCAGTCAGAAAGTGGCCTGGCTGGATGCGTGTGAGTGGGGTGGGGGTGGGGGCAGGGAGATCCTGGGAGGGGGAATGGATGGCCTCCAGGGGCCCTTCCCACTTGGCAGGTGAGGCCCTGGGGTCCTATGTGGGAACGAGGGTAGAGAAGAGAGGCTGCCTGGGAAACAGCATCAGGAAGAAGAGGGGCAGCCATGCAGGGGGGAGGCTAATGGGTGGAGGAAGAAGCTCAGAGGGAAACCCCCCAACTGTTCAGGCTGTAAAAGGGATTTGTACTTTCAGGTGTGCACAATTTTGTTAATGTGGCCTTTCAATAGAGTGAAGTTTGCTCATCAGAGTTTCCCGACTGGAAATCCAGTGTGTGCCCTGCCCTTTGCTTTTGGGGGGCCCTTGAGACCCCAGAGCAGCCTCCTGGACCAGCAGCCCTGATGGGGGCAGCAAGAGATGCCTCTGCCAGGGAGGGCCCAGGGGGCTGCTGGGCAGGAGGAGGCAGGTGGGTTCCGGAACCCCTGATGTCGCAGCGCAACCCGGGAAACCCCTGGCTATTTACCTTTGAAGAGGTGGCGGTACTCGCTTCAGGTAGACGGCAGGCAGGCTGGGCCAAGAGGGTGGGGGGGTGGCCTGTCCCTTAGGCAGGGGCAGGAGTGGGGGGATCCGGCCTGGGCCGCTGTTGGGGAATGGACTGAAGCCGTGTCCCCCTCCCAGTGGCCATCAAGGACCCCCACAACTCACACCCTGGGAAAGGGGGGCTTGGGCCCCTCCAGGAAAGCAGTGTTCCTGCCCCAGCCCTGGCTGATCCCCCCCCTCCCGGGCCCTTTGGGGAGGCCACTTTGCCGCTTACAGGACGGCCTCCCTCCGCAGGCATGGAGTTTGTGACCGGCTACCGGGCAGAGATCCTGGACTTTGCCGAGCTTCTCTTCGGCTGGTACCAGCGCTTCCTGCTGGACGCCATCTGCCGCCGGGGCAGCGAGCGGCGCAAGAGGCAGGAGAGCTCCATCCGCCGCCTGCCGCCCGACCCAGCTCTCTGGATCCTGCACCTGCTTCCCAACCGCAACCTGGCCTTCACGGTGGCCGACCCCGGGCAGCAGCTGGGTGGCCGCTTCTACAGCGAGGAGGCGCTGGCCCTGCAGGACCTGGAGCGCTTCATCACCTTTGTGGGGGCCGGGGGGGAGGAGGAGGAGGAGGAGGAAGAAGAGGAGGACTCCGACGGCACCACGGAGACAGGTTTGTGGCCGAAGCCACCGGCCCCCCCACGAAGGACTCGGAGCTGCAGCAGAAGCCGCTGAGCAGGGCAGACCCACGGCCTTTGATCTTCGCTTAGCCTCACCCCAGGCCAAGCTCGGGGGGGGGGGAGGCAGTTGGGGACTTGTAAGCTGGGAAAAGGGCTCCCCAGGTGGTCTTGGCTCCTCCAGCCCCTCTTCCTCATCTCCTGTTTTCCCAGGAAGAGTTTAGTTTTTTTAAAAAAAAGACTTAAACCCCACCAGTTATTACTAAGCTTATTCTACACTGCCCTGCCCAGCCCTCTCCCTCTCCCTCCTTCCCTTCCCTTCTCTGCCTCTCCCTCTCCCAATATTGATGGTGCTTCTAATCTATTCTTTGTTCCTTGAGCACACGCCAAAGTCTTAGCCATCATATAACCACCATCAAGCTGGCTTGACTTGTTGTCAGCTGCTGCTGAAGCCTTGGTGGGAGAGTGATGGTCCCCTCCATCCCCCACCCGCTGGCTTTGGCCAGTCCTGGCCAGGCTGCGCTCCAGAAACCGTGGTGCACCTGCGCTCCCTCCCAAGAAAGTTGGAGACCCACAGACACTCCCAGCCCCGACCCATGGGCTGCCCCTCCTCCCTCGGACACATCTACTTTCAGGTTAGGCCAAGAAAAAGCCAGGTTCTCCAGAGGAGCTGTGTTTATTTATTAGATTTATTTGCCGCCTATCTCGTCTTGGTGACTGGGGGGGGAGGGGGGGCAAGATCCTGAGTCCTGCAGTGAGCACCAAACTGCCCCAATCTGCCCCTCCCTCCCCTCCCATTTCGTGCTCTGCAGGGCAGCCCCTGTGGCGCGTTGAGCACCTCCTGCTGGTGACTGATGAATACGGCACCATTCTGGGCTTTGACTTCCTGCTGGAAGGCTTCTTGGGGACAGCTGGGCAGGAGCCCCTGGAGCCCCGGGCCCTCGCCTTGCTCTGCTACAGCATGTTCTGCCCCCTGGGCGCTGGGGAGCCCCGCCGGCCAAAGCTGCTGACCGTGGGAGACCCGGCTTTGCACAAGTGAGTGGGCGGAGGGTGCTTGGGGTGTCAAGGCTCCTTGTCTCCCCCCACCCCTCCTGACTCTCTTCCGCTCTGGCCCTGGCAGGTCCCTGGAGCCCCTGCTTGCTCGCCTGGGCATCCGAATGAGCAAGGGCCCGATGCGGGGCTGGGGCCCCAAGCCTACCTTCTCCTTCCCTACCACACGGGTGCGGGCGTGTCACGTGTGCAAGCGACACAGTTTTGAGGGCCAAATCACAGCCTGGTGAGTGCAGAACACTCACCCCTCCTCTGGTCACAACCTTTTGCCTGAGCTGGGGATGGGGGGTGGACTCCCCTTTCCAGACCACCCAGATTTGGGGGCAGCTGCAGGTCTGCAGGTCTGCTCCAAGGCTTGGAAATGGTTCTGGTGCCATTGATGGTCACCTCAGGGGGCACTGGGGTTTTTTAAGAAGACAGCCATTTGTCTGATAGGGTTGGACTAGAGCACCTCCAAAGTCCCCTCCAATTCTTGTTATTCTGGAAAGCTTGCTCTGCCTCTCCCATGCCCAGCTCTTTCTCTCCCCCAGCCAGCATTGCCGGGCTGTCTTCTATTGCTCAGAGAAGTGCCGGAAGCTGGACTGGAACCGCAGCCCCGAGGACATCGGGCACCAGTTTTGGTGCCAGCGCATGGCTGGGTACATGAGCCATGCCAGAGAGCTCGCCAACCTCCCCTTCACCTTTGCTGCCGGTAGGACTCCCACCACGCTCGCATCCCAGAGAGGGGAAGGTCAGGGCTAAGCTGTCGGTCCAACCCTGCCTTCCCTCCTCAGAGGTGACCAGCGATGCCTTCAACAAGGAGGGCTTCCTGCTTGCGCGAGGGCTGACCCGCGGATACTGGGTAGCGGAGAGCATGCTGGTGAGGGCCCCCGACTATGGCCTGGGGCTGCAGAAGGGCCCTGCAAAGACCCCTGTGCCCTTCCTCCAGAGTGGTGAGTGGGGATTGGAAGATGCAGCAGGCATGGGCAACTGTGGGTGTGGCGGGGAATGTGCCAGGTGCAAATAACCAGGCCCACGCATGAAAGAGTCCAAATCAGCTACTTTATTGCTTAGTGCCTATGCCCGGTTCATAGAAATCTTCCCAGATGCAGTTTTCCACTAAGAAAATAAGCCTCAGTGGCATTCTGGATCCTTTCACGTCTATGTAACCTTTCCAGACTAATAGCCTGCTTGATCCCTCCTCCCGACTGCGGCAGTCTCTGTCCAGCGTCAGGCCCACCCAATGCCATTCCTTCACAAACTGCACCTTGTACATTTTTGGCTACAATTCAAGATGCTGGTTGTCACCTCCGAAGCTCTTCACAGTCGATGGCTTGTTTATCTTGAGAGACCAGCAGATGTGGCTGCTATCCATCTGATCCAGCTGGGCAGAATGGGCACCCGTCATGCCCGCTCGGTCAGGTGGAGCTGCCCTTCAAGCCCGGTCCCCCTCCAGTCTTTAGGCCAGAGTGGATGGTGGCTGATCTCTGCACTCTCTCTTATGTTTCACCCTGTAAGCCGCCCAGAGTCAGGGTGAACCTGGCCAAAGTAGCACACGGCTCTCCAAACTTGGCGACCTGAAGACTTGTGGACTTCAACCTCCAGACTGCCTCAGTAAAGTGCACTGGCTGAGGAATTCTGGGAATGGAAGTCCACAAGTCTTAAAAGTTGCCAAGTTTGGAGAGCCCTAAATTAGGGGCCTATAATGAAGGAGTGAATAAATTGGGTGGAGGAGGCCGTGCAGCCGCCTCCCTCCCCCTGCTGAATATGGGGCACATCTTGCCCACCAAGAGTGGCAAAAGTATCTCCTCGTCTTTATCAGAGCCCTCCCCCAGGAACACTCCCTCAGGACACTCAGGGAGGGGAGGTGGCGAAGCAGGGGTCTCCTCACCTTGCACAATTGGGGGTGGGGGCTTTCTCTCTCTGCAGGTAACCCCTTTGAGGCACTCAGGCCAGAAGGAGGGACAGCACTCCCCCCAGCACCCCCAGAGCCCCCAACGCCTCGGACATTCTTTGGTGAGGGGGGAGCCTGGCCCCTTTCCCCTCTACTGTACTTCCACAGATCCTCCCCATCTGATCACTCTTCCTCTCCCCCAACCCCCCCCCTTTTCCTCCAGCATCCTGGAAAGAGTACTACCAGTGGCGGGAGCTTCCTCTGGGGGCCCCCTTGGCCGTGCTGCTGACCTATCCCCTCACTGCCTACTACATCATCACTCAGCTGGCCCCCCAGCACTGTGAGTGGGGGTCCCTCAGCAGCAGAGAAGGGGAGCGGGGCCTATGGGGCCAGGGACCAAAACCTGGCCACCCCTGCAGGAATCTCAGGTGGCCACGGGTGCAAGATTTGGGACCACCTGCCGTGGCCTGGCCGAAGGGAGGGGACGGCTACTTCTGCTGCCTTAGGGGTGGGCGGGGAGGGGCTGAGGACAGTGCCCCCCCTGAGGGTGGGGGGGAGGTCCATGCAGAAGAGCCGCAGGATGCTTGAAGTTAGGGGAAGGGGTCTTGAGGTTTCTAAAGTGGGGTCCCTAACTCCCCCCCCCCGCTCCTTTCAGTTCCAGAGCTAAACATTTTGAACAAACAGTCCCTCAAGATCCACTTGGTGGAGGCTGGCAAGGAGTTTGGCGTGCTGATGGTGTTCTGGGTAGGGAAGGGTCTCTGGGGAGGGGGCGTCCCTGTGCCTGACTGCACTGGAGCAGGTCTGCTGGAGAACCTCTGGCTTGGCAGCCTGGGAGAGATGGGAGCTGTAGTCCAGGACGGGGGGAGCCCCAGGTCAGGAGGAGGGCTCCCACCATTGGACTCCCCCGCCTCTCATCAACACACCCTCCTCACCCCTCCCAAAGGATGCTTGCAGGCGGGGAGGGGCAGGACAGCAGCTGGGGCAACCTGGCTTAAAAAGAAGGCCCAAACATGATTGCCTGTTGCTAGCCTCTTTGCAATCTCCTCCCTCCCTCCCTCCCTCCCTCTCCCACCTCCCTCCCTTCTTTCCCTCCCTCCCCCTCCCCTCCTTCCTCCCTCCCTCCCTCCCTTCTTTCCCTCCCTCCCTCCCTCCCCTCCTTCCCTCCCTCCCTCCCCCTCCCCTCCTCCTTCCCTCCCTCCCTCCTTCCCTCGCAGGAGTTGTCAGTGTTGCTCCCTCACGTTTCTCTGGAGCTGCTCTTTGTGGGGGACACGTTGCCCCCTGAGTTGGACGGCCAGCAGTTCCTTTTGCAGAGAGATGTGAGTCTGCCTCCCTTCTGTTTATACCTACGGGGGGCGGGTGTCTTTCTTTCTTCCCCCCTTTTCACCACCAGAGAATGGGGCCAATCCTGGCACATGGATTTTGAGGGATCTTCCGGCTGATTTGGCCGGGGACGATGGACGTCCTACTCTCCCTCTGCCTTTGGCCTTTCTCCCCAATGGGTGATCACCTCCCCCCCCCCCACCTCTTTTCAGGAAGAGCAGGGTGTCTCCGTCCTGCCCGGCTTGGCCCCCAGGGCCAAAGGAGGCCGCCGGGAGCTGCAGCTGGGCTTCAGTGCCCGTCCCTACCACCTCCTGCAGGCTCCCAAACCGGACCTGGTGATTGGTGAGAGGACAAGGAGGAAGGGGGCGGCCAAGGGTGGGGAGGGTTCCCGTGCTCTGCATCTAACGCAGCCCCCATTGTGCCCCTGATCTGCCCAGGGTTCAACTCCGGCTTTGCCCTGAAGGAGACCTGGCTGAGTGCTTTGCCGCGATTGCAGGTGAGCTGCTGCCAGAGGGAATCGGTGCCCAGCCACCCCGACCGAGACCTCGGCCCCAACAGTGGCTGCTCAGCACCCTCCCTTGGCACCAATGACCAGCTTGGCACGGCCTGGACCTCCCCCCCCCCGGCAATGACGATGCTTCTCTGCCCCACAGTCCCTCCGAGTGCCAGCCTACTTCACCGAATGCAGCGCCTACAGCTGTGCCGTGGATGAGGCCGCGGTCTCCATGGCCACGGGGGGCACTGCCAGCCCCGCCCAGATCAATCCCTTCCGTTCACCCTTCCGACAAGCCGGCATTGACAACGCCATGCCCTGGTGGGTACAAGGCAGGCCTCGACCCCCTCCTGTGAGACTGACTGGCAGCTGCGTAATTCCCCTCCCCTCGTCCTGGCACACGGGGAAGCCAGGCATGGCCCTTGGGGCAGAGGGGCCCGCCTTTTGTGGGTGGTGCCTTCCTGGCCCCGTGTTGCCACTGTTCCCCTCTTACATGCCCCTTTTCCCCGGGCAGGTACTGCAACGCCTTCATTTTCCACCTGATCTACAAGGCCTCGGCCAACAACCACCGGCAGAGCTCTGTGCCCCCTCCGCAGCCCCTCCTGGCCAGTGGGAACCCAGAGCCGCCCGAGCCGGCCCGGAGCCGGCGCAAGGACAAGAGGCAGATCCGTGCGGCAGGGCGCCGGCGCAAGTGACGGGGTGGACAGGAAATAAAGCACTGATGGACACACCGAGACTTTGTTCTGGTTCACACCTTGAGCAGGGGGTTGGTCTAGAAGGCCTCTGAGGTCCCTTCCAGCCCTGGGATTCTGGGCTCTCTTAAGTTGGCTGGCCTGGGCTCATGCTTGACGGCCAGTGTCTCCTCAGGGAAGGAACAGCCATTCCTCTCCTCTGTTGGCCACAGGCAGAGGGCATCTGACGCCCCCCCACCCTCCACAGAAGGGAACATGCCCCCCCCCATGTGAAATGAGGCCCTCCACTAAGCGAGGCCCCAAAGCAGGCCAATGGCTGCACAGATGCCCAGTGGCCACAGAAGAGAGGCTTGGACTCGTCTCCCCTCCCCCTCCTTGGACCCCCCACAGCCACGGCCCTTGGGGGAGATCCTGGCAATTGCCCAGCAGAGGGGGATCAACCGATCCCGGCAACCCACACACAAGCCGTGGGAGGCCGGTGGAGTCAGCCTCAGGAAGGGCTGGAGGTCTTGGGAAGCCGGGAGGCTCTCAGCGGCATCAGAGGGGGTGTGGAGGGGGTTGTGGTGAGTTGATGGCCCAATGACGTGACTGGAGACCCTCTTCCCCAGAAGAGCCGAGCATGTCTGGTCCCACTGACCAAAGGAAGACCCAAGCAGACCCCGCCCCCGCCCCCAAGCAGGGCTCCGAATTCTTGAAAGCAGAGCCACAGCTCATCTTGGTGCCTGTGGCCTCAGGCTGGCACGAATCCTGGACTATGCCCTCTGCCCTGAGCCCGGGAGAGGCCAACCCTGAATCGAGAAGGGCTTGCGTGTGGCCCTCAGGCCCCTCCCAGCGTTTTGGGGCCATCGCGCCTGGAAGAGGAAGAAGCTGCTGGGCTCCAGTGGGTGGAGTGGCGGACTGGCAGAGGAGCCCTTTGGCCGAGAGATCTGAACAAACAAGCTCTCGCACAGCCCCTGCGCACTCCGCCATGTGTACCGGGAAGTGTTCCCGCCTGGTGGGCCTCACCCTGGTGGCCGCGGCCCTGGCCTGCATGGCGGCTAACATCCTGCTGTTCTTCCCCAATGCTGAGAGGCAGTGGACACCGGATCACATCACCACGCAGGCCTGGCTCATGGGGGGCGTCATCGGCGGGGGGCTGATGGTGAGTGGCCCAGGTGGGGCAGGTGCTTCTTCCAGGGGACTTGCTGGACTCTTAGGGGCTGCCCTTGCCGAAGAGCAGCTTCACCCTGGGGCCTCCGGGTGCAGGACGAGGGGCAAAGGATGGCTCGCTTACTTTTGCTGGAAAGCGAAGAGTCCAGAAGAGTCCAGAGGTGCGCGAAGAGCTCCAGCCTGATGGTCTCGGGCGGGGTAAGACCGCCGCATGTCTGGAGGCAGAACACTTCCTGGATTGCCAGGGTGGGGAGGGGAGTCTTGGGGCGAGGAAGACCCCTGCCCCATCTCGATCTTTTGCAAGCAGAGCCCAAAAGGGCGTGACTCTTCCCCCCCGCCCCCTCCCTCAGCAAAAAGGGCTTTGCTGGGCCAGCCGGTTCCCCCCAACCCTCCGCTCTGCTCCTTCTGGACTTTGAGCCAGGTGCTGAGCTCTGCCCTCGGTGCCAGCTGGTGACACTCGCGGGGGAGTGGGGAGTGCTGCGTGCCATGGCTGCCTGGCTTCTGCCTTCCTCAACGGGCTGTCCTGGGCAGAGGGGCACCTCCAAGCTGGCCACTTTCCTTCTCCACAGGTTCTCTGCACCGGCTGCTCCTCAGTGCGGGCCGGCGGGAAGGGATGTTGCGGCTACGGATGCTGCGGGAACCGATGCCGGGTAGGTGGAGGCGGGAGAGGCTCCCTGGGAGCTCTGTGGGTTCCCGTGATGCTGAACCCCAAAGTGGGCTTTGGCCAGGCTCGGGCCAAGGCAGACAGGCCCCCAGTAGGGTCATGGGCAGTTCATGCTGAAGCCAGGTGAGCTAACACAGGTAGGAGTTGAGAATTCCTGGTGCACCTGTTGGCTCAACCGAGCCTCCTGGGCTCATCTGGAAAATGGTGTGCTGGCTGGCAGGGATGCCAGAGTTTATGAGAATCCTGCCCAGAGCCCCCCCACTTTTGTGTGGGGTGGCCTTCAAAACCCTCCTCGATTCACACAACACACAGCTGAGCCACTCAAACCAGCCAGGCAAACCAGCTCAACCGACAGCTAGGTGGCCCCACGAGATGGGTGGGTGTGGCAGGCAGTGCAAAGCATGTTCAAGAGAGCTGCTCCCTCGGGACTGCCCAGAGAGGAAGTGGAGGAAGAGGCACAGAAGAGACAGACAGACACACACACACGCCCCCCGAGGGTCTCAGGTGGTAAAGAAAGTTTGTCCTTTCAGGTGTGCAGCCATCTGGCCCTGCAGCTTCTCTGTAAAGCAGAATTAGCTCCCCTGGTCAGGTCTCCCATCTGCTCTACCTGGCAAAGCTGGCAGGCTGGGTGCTCAGGGCTGCCAGGGAGGGCCCGTGGCAGAGAGAAGAGCCAGAGGGGCGAGCCCTCCCTCACCCCCTTTTCCTGCCCCACGACAGATGCTGCGCTCCGTCTTCTGCTCCGTCTTTGGGGGGCTGGGTGCCTTCTACTGCCTGGTGGTCTCCTCCACAGCACTGGCCGATGGGCCCTGGTGTGAAACGGAATCTCAGTGGGCATCCCCCTTCAAGGATCTCAGGTGAGCAGGGCTGGGGACAGGAAGCCCCTCCCAGCCCACCCCACCCCACCCATGGCTGGCAAGGTTTCTGCCAGGGCTGGGCCGTGGGCCAGTCTGTGCCCCGGGAGTGGAGCAATGTGGGAGGGGCTTCGGTGTACCCACCTTCGAGATCTGAGCTCTCCCCCCCCCATCAGTGACAACTATCTTCAAAACAAGACGATGTGGGAGGTGTGCCTGAACCCCCCATCCATTGTCCTCTGGCACATCGTGCTCTTCTCCATCCTGCTGGGGCTGAGCCTGCTGGAGATGGTGCTGTGCGGCATCCAAGTGGTCAACGGCCTCCTGGGCACCGTGTGTGGCGACTGCCGCAAGGCCGATGACCGAGACGTAAGTGGGCAGCAAAGGAGGCGCCTGGGATGGGCAGGCCGGAGGGAGGGGGCGGGAAGGGATGTTGGTGGTGGTGGGGGGTCAGGGAGCAGATGGCCTCAGGAGATGGGGGAGGGAGGGAAGTGGGGCAGCCTCCCTGGGAGCAAAGCCCCAGGCCCCATATTGCTTGCTGACCTTGTACGGAGGGGCTTGCAAGCACCGGGGGGGGGAGGCAGACCAGCATGGGACTCTCAACCCTTTGCAACCCTCTAACTCACTGGCACTGCCCTTTTGACTCCTGCCAGGGGGAAGGCCTGTGAGACCAACCGACCGGAGCACTTGCACCAACAGCCACTCCTCCACCCACTTGCCCCCTCTCCCCAAATCTCTCGGCTAACAGGGGGGCAATCTTGCAGGTTTATTGGCAGCCCAAGAAATAAACGCCGCTCTCTGTTGCAACCTCCGTCCGCTCCGAAGGGTCTTGGCAGAAGACTGGGGGTTGGGGAAAGCTGGGTGGTGGGACCTGTGGAGAAAAGGCCGGTGCTGAGCAGGGGGGCTCTTTCGCTCTCCCTGACCAGCCTCTTCTGTGCAGGGCTGAGGGACCCCCAGGGGCGTCCTGGGGCTGGAAGCGGTCTGCAGCTGAGCTGTGGGCATCTGGCCTAAGGAGGGCGGGAAGGACCTGCTGTGCGCTCCTGGACAGAACCACTCTGGGGCAGGGAAAGGAGGGGGGGTCTAAAAGAGGTTGCTCCCATCCTCCCCAGTGAAGGGAAGGCGTGGGGGTCCGTGGGGGGCTGCTGGATGGTGGAACTGCTGGAGGCTGCGTGGATGGCTGGAAAGGGGGGCAGGGAGAGGAGGGCCTCCCTCGGGTGTCTGTGGGCTCCTGTCCCGTGAGACACTTTGGCCCCCCGGAGAGGAGGGGCTGGAGCAAAGAGGGGGCAGCTCTTGGCCTCTCTCCTCTCCCAATGGATCAGAAGGGGCCGCAGGGGGAGCACACGGAGCACTCACCCCCTGCCGGGGCTCCGGCTGAGGCCTCTGTGGGCTCACTGGGTGCAGCAGAGGAAGCGGATGTCGTTGAGGGCAGAGTCATCCACCAGGACCCCCCGGATGGCCTCCTGCTTGGTCTGGATCCCACACAGGCCCTTGAGGCAGGAGGGGCTCCAGGCTCCGTACTCCCCCCAGGGCAGCCCTGGCCCCTCCAGGACCTTCCCGTCTGAGCAGGCAAAGCGGATGTTGGTGGCGCCCATGTAGTCGCTGAGGCCACGCCGGACACGCTCCACCCGCAGAGAGAAGCCAGTCAGGTAGCCGCCCGGGGGGCACCAGAGGGGGTTGGTCCAGTGGCCCCACCTGAGGGGAGGCGGAGGTGAGAAGGGTTAAATGCTGGTGACCCCCTCCCCTCTTGCCACCTTGTGCCACCTCCTCTGTTGCACCACCTGGCGCTCCTTGGTGGATCGCTTTCCATGGAAGAGAAGCGTCCGAGGGGAGGCCCACTTGCCCACCCACTCACCCCCCGGGGACCAGGAGGGCCTGGTACCCGGGGGACATCCCCACACCCGCCCGCACACACACTGATGTAACGCTAGGGCCAACGCGAGGCACCCAGGGCTGGCAGGGGGCAGTGGCAACGGTCCTTTCTGCCGGCATTGGGGCAGAGCAGAGAAAAGGAGAAGGGTGGTGGATGGTGTGGGAAAGGGGGGCTGCTGGGGGGGGGGCAGGGAGGCAAGCTGGGGATTGACTCACACGTTGCTCTGGGACTCCACTGTTTTGGCCTCAGACTTCCCACCGTGGCTGCCACGCGCGCAATGCAGCCGGAGGCCATTCAGGGCCGTGTCGTCTTTTGCCTGCCCTTGATAAGGCTCCACCTGGGAGAGAAAGATGGAGGGACGTTCAGGCCACGAGGGGGGAGGGGAGGCCGGGGCCAGGTGAGATGAGGTCAAAGAACAGGTCAGACCCAAGCTGCTTACCAAGTCAGGAAAACGGGGAGGGGTCTGCTAACCTGAGGGTGCGTGACAATTCAGAAATGGCTCTGTAGGTGCTCAGGAGCATTCGGCTCTTCCTCCTCTTGCCTGGTCAGTCTGCATTCCCTGGGGGGACCCCCTGCAGCCCCTCCACGCTTCTTCCCCTGGGCTCTCACACACACACACACACACACACACGCACACGCACACACCCAGCATCTGTCTCTGAGGGCCTGGGCCTGGACCCCAATCCAGGGAAGAGGCAGAAGAGGGGGGATTACCTTGAGGCTGAATCCTGTGGCATAGGTCCCTTGGGGGCACATCTCCTGCCAGGCCCAGGGCCCCCACGGCCCCCCATTGGACACCCCAATGGCAGGCCAGCTTTCCACGGCAGCACCAGTTCCTGCCAGGCCTGCCACCAAGAACCACAGTCCGAGAGCCACCATGGTGCCCAGTGGCATCTGCCCAGGGGTGCCCTTGCTCTGCTTTTATACCCTCTTGGCAAAAAGGGGTGGGTGGATGGTCAGGATCAAATGACTTCCGAGATCCCACCTGGGCCACTGAAGGGGACGGGTTCAACCGGTTAGGATTAGGCAGAACAAAACAGGTGCGGAAATCCTACCCCGGGTCTTGAACCCCTTTCTGGGAAGGACAAAGGCCGGGTTGGCAGGAGGCCCCTTGGGCGCTCCCTCTAGGCCCTGGGAAGCCCCCCCCCCTTTTGGCCAGACCATCTCGCCTGCATGGATAGGCAGGTCCCAGAGGGGCTGGGGGGGCTCTGGGAGTCCCAGGTAGGAAAATCTGCTCGGAGAAAAGGTGTCAAGAGTGAAATGACCTGTTGCCACAAGAAAGCAAATGGAGGGGTTTGGACTCTCACCTGGGCAGAAAATGGGGGGGGGTTGTTCTCCCTTTGCCTCTCTGCCAATGCTGGGAGTTGGGACAACCCCCCCCCCTCAATGACGATCAGAGTCCGGACAGAAGGTGAGCACCAGAACACCAGCAGAACGGCTCACCTGGAACCAGGCAGCAGCTGCTGGTTTGGACGGTTTCAGAGGGATTAGGTAAAAAGTAAAAAGGGAGGAGGGGAGTGAATGAAGGGGTTGAGCCTGGGGGGGGGGCGTTAATATGGCCCCTCCCATTTTATCCTATGCCCTGTGAGGAGCTAAAAAAGCTTAAAATGCTACAATGGGATGGCAAGGCAAAAATCTCCATAAGGTAGGGATAATGTTTATGGGGGGTTTAGAATAGAGGGGTGGGGGGTGGGCCACCATAAGCAACTGCCCAAGAGCCAGGCTTTTGCCAAAGCCCCCCCCCCCCACTCCCAGGGAGGAGACTCCCCTGCCAGGAACAGGGGCCGGGCTCCTTTGCGGCTCAGCCGGACTGGCAAAGCCAATTCAGGGATCCTGAGAGACCTGGGGGGGGGGGCTTCCAGCTCCCCCACATTTCTGAGCACAAGGAGCAGCAGAGACCCCTTGACCGAGTGGGCTGCAGGGCAGAGACTTTTGCCCTCCTGGGCTGCTTCTCGGCCGGTGCCTGGAGGCCGGCAGGTGGTGGGAGAGGTGCCTGGGGCCCTGACCCCTTCCTGACCCTCTGGAGTCAGAGGGGGGCTGTTGGGAAAGGAGCCATAGCAGGGATCTCGGGGGACCTCCTGGCAGAGACCGCTCTCCTCAGTAGATTCCCTGCGGCTCTTAGTCAGGAACCTCCTTAGGGCCAGAAGCAGCACCCCTGCGGCATGGCCATTATGGGGGGGGGTGTTTCCACCTCCAAGTCATGACACATCGTCAAGTGGGAGCGTCTCGAGAGGGTGCATGAGCGGCAGGTCGGATCTTGGCCCACCAAGATGGGGAACTACATCCCCCCCCCAAGCAGAATGTGCCAGCCCATCCTTCTCCTCCCTGATGGGGCTCCGAGGGGGAGCGCACTGCTAAAGTCCACCCTTGATAATGCCAGGTGCCCCATGAGGTGCCCTGCCCTTCCTTTTCCTCCCTGGCACAAAGGTGGCCTTGCAGCCTGAACCCGTTTCCGCCTCTTTCGGAAGGTGGCACAAGAGGCTCCCATGCAGGCGATGCCACCTGGACCCTTTTGCTTCCAGTTCTAGATTCCACTGCCAGCCCCCCACCCCCCCCCCCACCCAGGGCATTTCCCTTCTTCAGCCCCCCCCCTTCCCAGGACAGCCTCAGGTGAACCTGTCCCTCAGGGCCCCATCAGCTCCCTCAGCCCGGCCCCCATGGCTGCCACTTTCTTGACTGGTCTGGCCTACAAGCCTCTTGTCCGGCCGGTCCCGGGGGCGAGATCATGCCCTTTGAGTGGCCATCGCCCCCTCGGCCCCATCTTGGACCTGGCCCAGCCTTCCCTCAGCTCCACCTTTGCTCTGTGGCCCAAGCCAGGCCCCACCAAAGGGCTCCCTTGGGCTTGTGGGGCTGGCAGCCCCCCTCACCCTGCCTGGGTCCCACGGGAGATGGGCCAGAGCCACAAGGAGTGCTGTTTCTATGCCAGCCCCTCCCAAACACTCTGGACAGTTAAAAATCAGACACACTGCCCAGCCGACCCCCCCTCCCCCAGAGAAAAAGACGAGCCTCCCCCTGAACTAAAGCAAATACAGCGTCCAACTCCGGAGACGCCTTGGACTGGACAGAGGGAAGCAGCCCACAGCATTCCAAGCGGGGGGGGGGGCATCAAAGTGCTATTTCTGAGGTCTGCTGGACACCTTCTCCTGCCTTCAGGCCCGGCAGGCCCAATCAATTTAGGGCCGAGTGAGAGGGAGGTGGTCACGCATGGAAGTTCTGGAAGCCCCAAATGGGACTCAGTGGGGCACATCTGGCACCCTGCTCCAGCAAAGGGGGTCCAAAAAGGGGTGGCCTGGAGAGATTGGCACTTGTCCAGCAAAGCCCCCTCCTGTCCAGGGCCGGGTGTCTCAACAGAGCCCCATTTTCCCCAAACCCAGATGTTTCCAGGGGGAATTGTTTGCAGGCTGCCCCCCCCCCACCCCATTTGGTTTCCCTGCTCAACACCTCCCAGCCCCTCCCCTTGGAGTCCCAGCAGCCCTACCAGACGCCCGGGGGGCCACCAGCCCTCTGACTGCCACTTCCCTGCTGGAGGGCCCCCCTCCGAGCCGCCCAGCTCAGCCCTCCCTCACCCCCCCCCTTCTCATCCTCCTTATCTTGCCCGGAAGAGAGGGCAGAGGGCAGGGTGCAAAGGCCTGGCTGGTCCTGCCTGGAGGAGGCAAAAGGCTTGAAATGGGGGCTCCCCCACGCCCCTGCCAGCTGCTGCTCCTGCTGGGGGTCTTCCTCCTCCTGCTCTACCTCTCCAGCCGGCACCTCCGTAAGTCGGGAACTGGGCGGCGGGGGGGGAGGCGGGCAGGGGCCGGAGAGCCCAGGCTGCAGCTCACCCTCCCTGCGCTTCTCCTCCTGCAGCAAAACTCTCCCTGGCTGCCTGTGTCCGGGGCAGGCATCGGTGCCCATGGCTCGGGGAGACGCTGCCCAAGGAGGAAGAGGTGAGATGAAGAGCAAGGCAGCTTTGCTTGTGGCAAGGCGGCAGTCCGGAGGGGGCAGTGGGGGAGCCGCACCTTCTTCCCCCTTGACTGGGAGGGTTGCCAGAGGCCCTCTGGAGTTTTGCGGCAGCTGAGGGGCCTCCAGGCCCAATAACTGGGGGTGGGAGGATAGGCAGGGAAGCCAGGACCCTCTTTGAAATCCCAGCAAGGTTAGAGTCAAGGCGATGGGCAGATGGAGGGAAGCCCGAAATGTCCTGGATAAGGAAGGAGGGTCAGCTGGAGGATGAACTGGCCCGGAGGGTATTTTGGGACTGTGGTTTCCCAACTGGGAAGTTGGGGGAGGGAACGGAACTTGAAACTGAAGGAAGAGGGGTTAGGTAACAAGGAAACCTGAGGGGGGAATTTAATCCTTTCCCTCCACCACCGCCCCACCCACCCCCAGCACTTCCTTGTCTTCCTGCAGCCCGGTCCTGCCTCTGCCCCCGCTGGGACCCCAACACCCCCCCTCCCTCTCTGGGGCGAAGAGTTTGACATCAGGCAGCTGCGAAGGGCTTTCTCGACCAGCCTCTCCCCCCGGGGTGAAATCCTCCTCCGAGAATACCTCCACGGCTGGAGGCAGCTGCTCAAGTGAGGACGGCAAGGGGGGGTTGCATGGCCTCTTGTGCAAGAAGGGGGTTCCGGAGAGACCTGGGCCCAAAAGACAGAACACGGGGAGAGCCGAGTGCCCACCCCAGAGCAGCTTTTCCCTCCAAGGCAAGAGAGACTCTCAGCGATCTGAAGCTTGTAATCGCCTTCCAGAAAGAGGTGGGGGCCGCCTGGGGGCCTTCTCAAACGGCTTTTCCCCTGGCCATGGCTCCCTCCCGCTGTGTGCCTCAGCAGTGCCCTGCTGCTTGGAGCCTTGCGCCCCCCCGCCCCCGGCCAGGAGCCTCTTCTCCAAGGGGCCATGCACCTGCCGGAGGAAGCCCATTGGCCTCCAAGCAGCCCCCCCCCCATCCTCCCTATCTGGGTTAAGAGCCGTCAGCCCCTCTGTCTTTGCAGGGCTGGCAGCTCTGGGAGGGGGAGCCGCTGGGCACTGGCTGGCTGGGTGGGGAGCGTTGCTGCAGGCTTCATGGACGGCTGTGCTTTCCAGGTTCATGGAGGCGCTGGGCACAGCCTTTGGGCTGATCTCCCGGGAGACCGAGTCCAAGATCAGCATCATGGAGCAGCACCAGGAGGGGCCGCACAGCCTCCACTACCACACTGTGCAGTCCATGGTGAAGTTTGAGCTGGCCTCGGGCTTGGTGGGCTTCCAGTCCCTGCCAGCCCACCAGCCTCCCTCGGGCTGCCGGACCCTGCTGCGCCTCCATCGTGCCCTGAAGTGGCTGGAGCTCTTCCTGCACAAACTGGGCACCAGCCAGAAGGATGAGAAATCCTCCCGGATGTGTGCAGAGGCCTACCGGGTGGCCCTCGCCCCGTATCACAGCTGGTGGGTGCAGCAGGCCGTTGCCCTGGCCTTCCTGGCTATGCCCTCCCGCCAGGAGCTGTACCACATCATCGTGCGGGGGGAGAAGCCGGCGGCTGGGGCCATTGTTCTGACCACGGTGGAGAGCCTGAGCCGGGTGTACAACGTCACCCAGGAGGTCTACTCTGCCCATGGGATGCTGGAGCTGCCCTAAGGATGCCCAGGGCACGGTCGAGGTTTCACGCCCACCACCTGAAGGACCGATCTGGGGCCAGTGGCCTGGTCTCCCGGGCAGAAAGCGGCTGGGGGGGGGCTGTTCCTGCTCCATGGACCACCCAGATAGCAGCCCCCCTTTAGTGCCTGGAAGTCCCCAGTGGAAGACAGCAGGGTTCCATTCGGGGGAGGGGAAGACATTAATAAAGGGCCTTGGGAGAATTTACCCACCCAGGGACCCAGCACGAAGTATGCCTCGTGACTGCCCTCTGCTGGTCTGGCCGGGGGTCTTTTCCATCTGTACAGCAAGTGGCACCCCATCGCATCTCCTGAACCCCAAGGGTGGGTTAGAACGCCACCCTCTGGGCTGTGTTGCAGCTGGACACCGCCTGCCCCTCTACCCCTAGGCTGGGAAAGGGCAGGATGCAGGGGCTCTATGTGCAGGGAACCAGGCAGTGCCCTCCGACCCAGACAGAGCCCCTCTGCTCTGCAGCCCCTTTGCCTTTTCAAGCCAGGCAGGGCTGCTGCCAACCGGGTTTTTCGGGGTGCCTGTCTGGTTGAGTTGAGAAATTCAGAAAAACTAGATAACTAAGGCCCAAACACAATCATTACTGAAGAGGGGAAAAAAGGGAGATGCCTGATAAGACCCTGTGGTTGCACAAAGACCTCCCTGAAAAACAGAACCAGAAAGAACAACCACAAAAAATGGACAGATAACAAATGCTGCACATCAGGGAACAGGCTGAATCTGCAAGGCTGTGAAGGCTCAGCGTGAGATAAGGTTCGCTATCGATGCCAAAAATAACAAAAGGCTTCTTGGGGCATGTCCAGAAAGAGAGGAATGTCAGGGAGACAATCAAGGAAGCTAACTCACCACTGGGTAGTAAAGATGGAAAGATGGCGACAGCAACAGGGAGAAATCAGATCTTTTTTTTTTTTAATTTGATTTATATGCCGCCCTTCTCCAGAGATTCAGGGCAGCTTACAATGTGTTAAGCAATAGCCTTCATACTTTTGTATATTTATACAAAGTCAGCTTATTGCCCCCACAAACTGGGTCCTCTGTTTAAATTCCTATTTTGCACCTGCTCTTTCACAAAAAATCACCACCCCCAATTTATCAAAAGTGGGACTGCAGGAAGCAGACAAAAAATTCAGATCAAAAGGGGCTGGTGAGAGAATACCTAGGAGCTTTGAATGAATTAAGGTCTCATGGGCCAGATGGCAGATGTCACCTCAGAGCCTCAGACTGAAATCTTTTCAGAAATCCTGGAGCACAGCCAACATGCTTCTAGTAGGTAAGGAAGGGGGGGGGCGGAGTGTAGCCAGGGAACTTCAGACCAAACATACCTGGGAAAATCCCAGAAAAGGAAAACAAGCAGCTGGTTTGAAACCCAACGAATAGAGTGATTACCAGAAGCCAGCAGGGTCCTGCCAGAGGAATCGTATTACTTTCTTTGATTAGATTAGTGGACCAAAGGAATGCTGTGGGTGTGAGTGTGGTTAGGCATTTGATAAGACTAGCCTCATTCTTGACAAAATCTAAGGGGGGGGGGATTGATGGTGTCATTATCAGATGGAAACCCAGTTAGGTGGTCCTTCATGGGTCTATGTCTGTGTGGATGGAAGAAAGCGGTGGGGGAGCTCAGGGCTTGATCCTGGGCCAGAAGTTCTGAACAGTAAACAGCTCAGATGGGGGGGGGGGGGGAAAAAGACACTACTAAAATTTGCAGATGACATCAAAGCAAATGGGGGCGGGGGGGGGAGCAGATTGATACCAGCTCAGAAAAGAGTCTCAGGATCAAGAGGATCTCGACAGACCTGAACACCGGTCCCAATCCAGCAAAACGTCGCTCAGTAGTGAGCAATGCAAGGTTCCGCAATCCAAGGCAGGCAAACCAAAGGCGCAGGTGAAAGGGGGGATCCGGGCGCCTGCGAGCCCCTCATGTGCCGCATCAACCGAGACCCGGGGGTGGGGGTGTCAGGGACAGCAGCCCCCGCTCTAGGCCGCCTCGGTTGGGCTGCTCCAGTCCTGCTCTGGTCGCCTCGGGGGCTGGGAGGCGCCGGGAGGAGGGCTGCGTAGGCTTAGCCTGGAGAAGAGAACGCGGCTGGGCTTCCCCGCCTCCGTAGGCTCCGCGGTGGGACAAGGGCCCGCGGGGGCTTCGGGGCTCCACCGCTCAAGGCCTTCAGGGCAGCCGCGGGGTCCGGGGTGGACTCCCTAACCTGGGCAGGGGGTGGACTAAGTGACCTCGAGGGTCCCCTGGTTGTGCTGGGGATGCAAAGAGCCTCCAATTCTCCCCAAATCAGCGTCTTCTCTCCCAGCGGGATTAGCTTTTCATCCTGAAGGGCACATTCGGCATCAACGGACAATTCCGCGTGTCGCTGAACTCCAGGAGGTTCCCACGTTACGCGAGTCACAGATGCTATGCGCCGCGGTCGGAGCTGCAGGCAAAGCGTGGGCGCCGGCGGATGACGCACTTCCGCTGCTTCCATTCAAGGAACCGCCGGAAGTCTTAGGAGCCGGGCAAAAACGTTGCCGCTCCAGAGACTCCATTGGTTGAAGAGAGAGAAACGGCAGAGGCAATAAGAGTGGTGGGGCGGGCCCGGCAACCCAACCAAACGCACGAGCGCCACCAAGAGGACCCGCCGGTGGCTGCGCGGGCTCCCTCCGCTCGGCCTCTCCCACGGAGCCGTAAAGCGCCGTGCCGTGCGCGTCGGCGTTTTTGCGTCAGTGTCGCGCTCGGGCGAAGATGGCGGCGGCGATGGCGATGACTGGTCCGGCGGCGGGTCCGAGCCTCGGGCTGGCGGGCGGTTGTCCGGACTGGACCCACCAGGCGGAGAGCACCGGGGTGAGGGCGGAGGCCGGGGCGGGGCGGGGCGGGGCGGGGCGGGGCGGGGCGGGGCGGTCCTGCCCGGGGCTGACGCGCCTTCTCCTTCCCCTCCGCCGCAGACCACCATCATGGCCGTGGAGTTCGAGGGCGGCGTGGTCATCGGGGCGGACTCCCGCACCACCACCGGGTGAGTGGCTGGCGGAGGGAGGGAGGGAGGGAGGGGGGCCGGCGAGCGGAGCGGAGGGGAGCGGAGGGGAGGGGGGGTCCCGGGCGGGGATGACGGCTGTGCCGCCCGCAGGTCCTACATCGCCAACCGCGTGACGGACAAGCTGACCCAGATCCACGACCGCATTTTCTGCTGCCGCTCCGGCTCCGCCGCCGACACCCAGGCCATCGCCGACGCCGTCGCCTACCAGCTGAGCTTCCACAGGTGGGGAGGGGGCGCTGCGGGCTCCGCGACGGGGGAGGGGCGGAGGCGGCAGGACCACCCTGGCAAGCGCCCGGAGCCTCTGACCTGCCCGGGGAGCCCCCTCTGGTCTGCGGGGGCTTGTGGCGGCTGCCTGTGACCCTCCCTCTCCTCGCCCTGCAGCATCGAGCTGGACCAGCAGCCCCTGGTGCACACGGCGGCCAGCCTTTTCAAGGAGATGTGTTACCGGTACCGGGAGGACCTGACGGCCGGGATCCTGGTGGCTGGCTGGGACAGGCTGAAGGGGGGACAGGTGAGGGGCAGCGATGTGCTTCCCAGGTTCTGGGGGTTGGGGGGAGCCTGGTCCTTGACCCTTCATGTTGGATGCCCCCCCCCCCCGCCTACCCGGAGGATGTTCTGCCTGGGTGGATGGATGTTCATCTGGATCCAGCCGCTGCCCTGGGTTGGCCTCGGGTACTTTTGTACAATGCCAACCAGCCACTGGCAACCAACCAGCCCTCCTACTTCCTGCTGCTCTGGAGAAGGTTTTTCTCACCTACCTCCACCCCGCTCCCCCTGCCTCTTCCAGGTGTATTCTGTCCCCATGGGGGGCATGATGGTTCGCCAGCCCTTCTCCATTGGGGGCTCCGGCAGCTCCTACATATACGGCTTTGTGGATGTTTCTTACAAGCCTGGAATGAGCAAGGAGGAGTGCCTGACTTTCACAGCCAATGGTAAGGAGACCCCAACCCCAGGGCCAAAGGGGAGGAGCCCCTGATTTCTGAGGGAGGGGGTGACTTTGCTTCTGCCTGCCTTTTCTCCTTACAGCACTCGCCCTGGCTATGGATCGCGACGGCTCGAGTGGGGGTGTGATCCGCCTGGCTGCCATCACCAAGGACGGTGTGGAGCGCAAGGTCATTCTAGGCAATGAACTGCCCCGGTTTTCCTCCGTCTGAGATGGGGGGGGCAGGCGGTGTTGCCCCCGTGACGCCTGGAACGGCCTCCAACTCTTAGAGACGGGACTGTCTTTTGTCTATGCATGTTTGGTGGGTATTAAAGGCAGAAATTTTCACTGTGTGGTTCTTTCTTTTGGTCCTTGCGGTGGTTGGGGTGGGGGGACATGGAGAGAGGGAGGATGGCCACTTTTCTTTACTACCTTCAAATAGCAGCTCTTTTGCTACGGCAGTGTTCTAATGAGGTTAGAAGCTTTGCGGGCAACAGTCCTCATTCTCTGAGACAGAACAGCAAGGAAATGGCTGTTTTCACACACCGCATTAAGTCACCAGCAGCCAGGCCCATTCTAAGGGTTTGAAGGTTAAAGGGACTGGACCAGGAGAGGGTGTGGGCCCTTTCTGCCCGTTCTCCCCTTCCCAGACGGGATCTGCCTACTGTGATTATATTGAGATAAGAGAGGAGCACACACCCCTTGGGGCTCACGCAGCTCCACCCTGTTCTGGCAGAGACTAGGAGAGGCCCAACGGCAGCAGCCTTTTTCAGGAGGTGGTGGTGTGTTTTGCATTTCTCTTGCAAGGGTGGGGGAGCTTGGTTTGGGGGCCTGGCCTGGCTTTGAGGGCTGGAGGGTGCTGCTCCCCAGCTCAGTGGGCAGAAGCGATTCTCCCCTGGGCTCGCAGTAGAGAGAGAGAAGCAGTCGGGGTGGTGCAGTTTATTCCTGGGAAGCCTCTGCCCAGCGGCCTTGCCTGCTGCCTCTCGGGAGGATCAGGTGGTGGAATCCCTCTCGGAGTCGAGCTGGTGGCGGAAGGAGACGCGCGCTTTGCCGCTGAAGTACGCCCGGCCACTCTGCGGGTCGCCCTCGCTGCTGGTGGACGGGGTGGACCGTGCTCGGCCTGCCGAGACGTCGGGGCCGCCTGTAGAGGCTGCTGGGGTGGGGGTGGGGAGAGAGAAGTGAAGGCTTGCCCCCCCCTCCTCTGCCTGGCCGGCTCGAGGGAGGCCGTCGCCCCGCCACCTTACCTTCCGGGGGCTCTCCCTGGCCCGCCTTGCCGGCCCGCCGCGACCGTCCGCGTCTCGCGCGTGGAAAGCAGCTGGGGAGCTTGGAGCCCATCCTGGAGGGTCCGGACGCAGAGGGAGGCACCAGCCGGTCAGAAGAGGTCCGGGGCGGCTGCCGTCTCGAGTAGCCTCTCCTCTCCCTTCCCTTTTGGGGCCAGGAGAGGAGCCGCCGAGTCCTTGCAATTACAGGGCGAGGGCGGGCGGAGGGGGGGGCTGTCCCAGAGCAGCCGCGGCGCCAGGGAGGGGCACGGCCCCCGGAGGAGACGGGCCGCCCGCCCACCCGGCCGCGCGCAGCCACCTGCCACCGACGGGTGTTTAGGTCTGATTTCCCGCACGCGTGGCACAGTTCGCGCGACCTTTGGGGCTGCTTCTCGCAAGGCTGGAGCCTCCCCAGCCGCCCCCTTCGCCCGCTCCATCCCGGCGGTTTGGAAGTGGGGGGGAAGCACAGCGCCCATCCTCCCCCGCCAGGACTCCTAGGCTGCAGGCCAGCCGGGCGGAGGGACCCACCGACCCAAGCAGGAGACCCGGCCGAGGAATCCCCAGCTGCCCCGAGAAAGGGGCGGGACGCTCTCGCGCTCGGAAAGTTGAGGGCTGCCGATCTCCACCCCTCGGATCGGGACACAGGGGAACCGGTTGGGCGGAGCCTCTCGGGTGGTCTCCGTCAAGCACGGCCGCCGGCGGACACAACCCGGGACTGGCCGCGGACCGGCTCCGGTCAGCTGGCTTCCCGTGACTTTCTCCGTCTCCGGAGCGGCCCGGACTTTGGCGTGCGGGCCCCTTGGCCAGCCGAGAGAGGGGCGGCGCTCTGCACATGCCCCGGGGCTCCTGCGTCAGCTGGGCGGCGCTGCGCTCTCTCCCAAAACTGGGACAGCCCTCCTTCGCGGGACAGAGGCCAGCCCTTTCCTCTCCGGCCCTTCCTTCCCTTTTTGATTATCCCGGCGGGGCAGCTCCGCTCCTCCGCTCCACCCGCCGCTGCATCGCGGACCCGCCGTTCCCTCCGTCGGCAGGTATCCTTAGCGCTCCCTCCCCACGGCCCCGACTCTCCTCGGCCTTCCCCCCGGCTGCGACTCCCCGGACCACAAGCCCAGCTCCTTCCTGACGGCGGCGGGTGACTCAACCCCTCGGAGCCGGCCGCAGCGCTCCGCTGCCCGGGGGCCGCCCTGCGGGGAAGCAGCCCACAGGCCAGGCAGGCAGGCGGAGGGCGAGGGACGGGCGGGATACAATCCCGGCTGGCTCTGCTTTCGGCCAGGCAGAGGGAGAGCGGGGCGCTAAACTCGCGGGCACCGGGCTGGGCTGCCCCCCGGTCTGCACTGCGCGGGGCTATCCCGGTGAGACTGTCGGCACTGCCTGCCTTGGCCAACTGAGCCAGAAGAATCCCCGTGGAAGAAGTGGAGCCGGCGCAGGGGGGGCAGGACGCACCCAGTGGCTGCACCCCATTTTGCCCAACAGAAGCGAGGCGGCTGCCTTTGTCTCAGCCTGCGCAGAGAGGGGGATGATTCAAGGTTTCCTGCCTCCCAGAAACTCCCGGAAATCTCCGCTCACTCACTCCTGGGTAGCGCTGGTACCCCTCCTGGCCTCCAGCAAGAGCGTGCCAGGCACCCCAGGGGCGTCTCTGCCCAAAGAACGGCAGAACAGCCCTCCTGGGAAGTTGGGCTGGCCTGTTTTGGCTTGCAGGCTGCCCTGAGAGTTCCTAAATAGTTCTGGAGCTGGAGTTTGCACTGAAGAGGCCAAGAGAAGTTCCTAGGGGCCTGGGGGAGGGAGTGTGCCCAGAGCCCAACCCCAGTCAGTCCAGGGTGCTGTACAACATTCCCCAGTCAAGTAGGCGCTCCCTGCATGGGGCTGGTGGGGCTCCAGGTGAATGCAGCAGCTGGGAGAGTTCACTAGAGCTCCATCCAGCTAAGGCTGCCCTGGGGTCAGAGCTCAGTGTGTGTGTCAGTCCCCTGCCATAGCCCTGCCTCGCTTGACCGGCCCTTCTGCCCAGTGTGACTGCCTGCAGCCAGGCCCCTTCCTGCTCAGAACCAGCAGCTGCCTTTTCCCCTTCAAAGGAGTTGGGCAGCCTTGCAAGGCCTGGGCACCTACTGCCCGGGGAGGGGCTTCCAGGGAGAGGAGACAGTGGGGAGTCTTGCCTGGGCCCAGGACCACTTTCCTCCTTTCCAGGGCTGGCAGGCCACATCTGGCCCTGGCCGGGAGACCTCAAGCAGTTCAATGCAGCCAGGAGAACCCGATGAGAACGATGCCCTCCAAGCCCAAGTGGCTGCAGGTCAGGCTGGGCCAAGCTGGGGGGGGGGGGGGTTGAGGGTAGTTCAGGCCCTCCTTGGGGTCTCGTACTGAGCTCTTCCTCCTTTCCCAGGTCAGCCATGCTCTTTCCCCATGGTGGTCTACGAGCCCAGGCCGCTGCACTCCCAGGCCCCCCTTTTCCTGAAGGGGGTGCCCATCGTGGCACGGGTGGAAAGCACAGAGAGGTACACCTGGGGCTCCAAGGTGAGTGGGGGCTGTTGGGCACCTGCCTGTAAGCCTCATCCCTGCAGCTCCCATACAGGGCTGGCCTCAGGCACAAAGCCGGGCAGTTCTGAGGAATTCCCTGTTTTAGGGAATAGCTCAAGGAGCCCTTCGTTCTGGCCTGGAGCCGGTGGGGAGAGGCCAGTGCCTGGCCCTGGTCTCGAGGCAGAGCCCTCTTTCCACTGCTGGTTCAGGGGTTACACCAAGCAGGAACGCAGGAAGGAGCCGACGGAGGGAGGGGGGACTTGGAGTGTCCTGGGGGCAGCTGAGCCTAGGCAGAAGATCACCCGCCAGCCATTGTGGGACACAGAAGGACTAGGAACTTGTCCCGATCAATAGAAGACTGAGAAGTTAAGGAGCCTGTGGGGGAGAAAGGACTTTGGAGCAAATCGCCAGTTGGAAAAACAGCCATTTTACAGGCATTTTTGTTGCTGTTTCACTTTGCCAACACATAAACATGAGAAATAGTTACGTTTTGTGTAGGAAATTCATCTTTACAGGTAATCCTCAATTTATGACCACAATTGAGCCCCAAATGTCTATTGCTAAATGAGACATTTGTTAAGTGACTTTGATCCATTTTACAACTTTTCTTGCCACATTTGTTAAGTGAATCACCGCAATTGTTAAATTAGTAACACAGTTGTTAAATGAATCTGGCTTCCCCATTGACTTGGCTTGTCAGAAGGTCTCAGAAGGGGATCACATGAACCCCCCGGGACACTGCGACGGTCATAAGTATGAGCCAGTTGCCAAGTGTCTGAATTTTAATCCCGTGACCACAGGGGTGCTGCAGCAGTCCCAAGTGTGAAAAACAGGCATGTTGCTTTTTTCATTGCTGATGTAACTTTGAACGGTCACTGAATGAACTGTTGTAAATTGAGGATTTACCTGCATTGTGCATGTCAGTTGTTATAAATTGAGAAATGGTTTATTGAATCACGTTGCTCTTAAGAGCCCCCTAAGGGGGCTTTTGCCAAGGCAGTTCTTCGGGGGCCTCCCAGAATTCCCTGCCAGCATGACCAAAGGCCAGGAGTTCTGGGAGGAGAGCTCTGTCCTTGGGGCAGCCAAATGCAGGAGGATGCTTTCAATCCAAGAGATAACGGAGGAAGTTTCCCTCGGCTGCAATTCAGGCTTATGCCAAGAAGCCAGGTGTTTATTCCCCAGCTGCAAGATATAATTAATACTCTATTAACAGCTGCAAGGAAGATATTGAGCCACAGCTGCAGGCTCAGGCCAGGAGGGATTCAGCCCCAGCACCAGGAGGAAGGAAGGGGTGGCTCCATTTCAGCCGTTTCCCTGCCTCCTTTGGCCCAGCCCCAAAGCCCCAGGGCCCCTCGCTTCAGCTCAACTCCGGGTGCCTCAAGAGCCCCCCTTCTGCCCCTCCCTCCAGAACAAAGTGGCCAAACAGCCCCTGCCCAATTCTGCACAGGGCACCCCTGCTGGTGACGGGGAAGCGGTTGGCACGAGAAGGCCTGGTGGGCCCTGTTGTCCAGCTTTCCTCCACCCATCCAGGTGCGGCCCAGCACGGTCTACGCCTTGCAGCTCAGCCACGGCCAGTTCACCTGGAGCATGAAGAAACTCTTCCGGCACTTCCAGGAGCTCCACAGGGACCTGATGAAGCACCGCCTGCTCCTCAGCCTGCTCCCGCTTCCCCGGTGAGATTCAGGTGCCACCGTAGCCAGGCAGGGCCTCCCCCCACTAGAACCAGAGACGCTGGGCATGTAGTAAGTGAGGGGGGTCCAACCTCGACCGCTTTAAGACCTGCTGGGGAATTCTGGGAGTTGAAGTCCGCAGGTCTTAAAGTGGCCAAGGTTGGACCCCCTTGTTGTCAACCTTGGATTAGGGCCAACGTGGTTTCTTTTCCATTGACTGCAAGCCTCTCACGGGCGCTGGCTGAGATCACGTCCTCTGGCATCTTTTGTTGTGGGTGCCATCTGGGCCCGGCCTTCTAACACGACTCTCCTCCAAGTGTGTGAGGATTTGTAGAGGATTTGTAGTTCTGAAGGATCCCAGTTCACAGGGACTTTGTGCCAAAGTTGAATCTCTCTCCTTCTCCCTCTCCCTCTTTCTCTCCTCTCCCTCTCCCTCTCCCTCTTTCTCTCCTCTCTCTCTCCTCTCCTTCTCCCTCTCCCTCTTTCTCTCCTCTCTCTCTCTTTCAGCTGGCTGGTTGACAGAACTGTCCTGCTGCTGTCTGCACAATCCGTGTTTCTTTTCTGCGCAAGGGTCTTTTTTCCCTCCTCTCTTGCATGCGTGATCTTTCATGTGATCACAAGCAGATCTGACTTGCACCCCCAGCCTGGGAGAGGAATCCAGCCCTTGGCAGGAATAGGCTGAACTGCTTCACATGATTGTCAGCAGAATTAGCCCAGCGGTTTTATAAGCCCTGACCGGCACCCTTTTCGTGGTTGCTTTTTCACAGTTTTAACTCTTTGGGATATTAAATTATTGGATTTATATCCTGCTTCTTTGCCTTAAGTACTCTTGAATTGATAAGCCATAATACATTGATAGTGATTTAGAAAATCGATGCTTCGTTCAGTGCTTTGGTCTGTTGAAAAGTCTGGAGGCAGTGAGGGAGCCACCTTTTCCCTGGGCAGGGAGTTCCATAGGCTAAGAGGCGTCTTGCACACCTGCCTAACTTATTTCCAGGAATGTGGGGGGGTGGGCTTCCCTTGGCTCCCCGCAGAGGAGAAGCTCTCCAGCTCCCTTGATTCTTTGTTCATGTCTGGGGCTGAGTCACTGGTCTTCAAGCTGAGTTCACACACACACAAGCTTGCTGAATCTTGACCCAAACAGAGAGAGAGAGAGAAA